ATTTTCTTTAAATGTGTTTTTAGCATTATATCTAATTAAATCAATAGGTTATAAATTATTGAATAAATGAGTAGATAAGGGTATATATTTATTTACAATTATAAAAAAAATATTTCTCTGGCAACCTCAATAATTAGCAATGTTTAAAAAATGTATACATTGACTGTTCTTCAGTAAGAATGAATTTGAGAACGCTTAAAAAAAAGTAATTTTTAATACTTAATTTGTATTTCTTGTTTTTTAAGTATACAACAATTTATTATTCTTAACTATTAGTATTCACAAATATTAAGGTAATATTTTGAACGCAAAACCTTCTTAGTCAAAAATTATTAGCCATTATTTTAACTATAAATTATAGCTGTATTTACAGCTATAATCAGCTACAATAATAGCTATAATTGACCACAAAGTAGCTATAATCATGTACAAATAACAACTATAAAAAGAAACGAAGAAACAAAAAAATGTTACTGTTAAAATTTTTTTCGTTTATTGTTCAAAAATACTTGAACCCCCCACTTTTAGTGTTATTATACAGATAATGTCACCTTATGTGGCTGATATACCTTACGAAAAGAAGATTATTGAATAAATTCTGTTAATTAAAATTCACTAGAAATTTATAGCTGTAAACAGCTACTTTTTATTGTTGTTTTTTGAACATGATTATAGCTACTTTGTAGTCAATTATAGCTATTATTGTAGCTAATTATAGCTGTATTTACAGCTATAATTTATAGTTAAAATAATAGCTCATAATTTTTGACTGAGTTATGAGAAAAATCTTAGTTTTTCTTATAAGAGTATCTCCTATTCTTGCATAGAGATTTTATTCTCAATAAAAGTTTTCAAGTGCAGAATTCAAATTTTAAAAACTGGGAAACATAACTAATCACTCATAACCTTCGAAAAAAAGCAACATGCAAGAAAATGAGCTTATTTATAAATAAATAAGTAACAAAATTCATTCAAACATGGATTAAAAAGTTTATTGAAAAAAGATTTTTTTTTCACTGCTCGCAATGAATAAAATTATGATGGATGCATGCAATTAAATTATAAACACAAAAAATAATGCTGTTTTAATTTTTCGATCGTTACATTAAATATAATACCAATTTAAAAAAAGAAGATAAACTACTATAAAAATTGTACAGAAAATATGATAACTCCATATGCACTAAGCAATCATGTAATATTTTCTAGTAGCACATCGTAAGTTTTTAATGTGTGAGTGTTTTTCCTACAGATATTTTGTACGTTGCAAACCATCGCAAGAAATAGCAAAACATTATTTACTATAATTGTAGATAGCAACTACCAGTGGTGCATGAGCCAACTGTTTTTTTTTAATTTTGTATGGCAGTCAATCAAATTTTTTGGTAGGCAAGTGCCGCTAATAGATTATCAAACTATTTCTTAATTTGTATCAGTAAGTTAATGGTTACATAAGTAAACGCTGGCAATATAATATAAATAATAAGACCACCTTTCTTTTAGATTTTATAATAATAAAATCAATTAATACGTCGCAGTAACTGCCAACGATAAGTAGCCTCACTCTATCTTGATATTAATATAATAGTTGAATTAGCTTTTTAGGAACGTAAGCGGCAAAGGTAAGTGGCGTAACTAGTTTTTACTTTCATACGATGATAAAATGAACTTTTTGGTAAGCAAGTGTTGGCAATAAGAAAAATAAATGTTTTTTTTTTTTTTAATTTGAGTAATAATTAAATGATGTCTTGAGCAAGAAACTGCCAGCGATAAGTAACTGAACAGTTATTTATTTTGTATGATAAGTAAAATAATTCATGGGTGAGTAAGCAATACGTGATGATTAGCCTAACTGTTTCTTAGATTTAAACAATAATTGAATAAACTCTTAAGCATTTTATACTCGCTACGTTTTTGTCCAGAAATTTTTGATTTTTACTTGGTATCTCAAATACATGGTCTCCAATGTAACAATGATTTGCTGCAATTTAACAACGCCACGAAAGTCAAAGAATTCTTTAAAAAGACTTTGGGAACTCCTTTTAGTGGACATAACCTGATAAGTTTACAAAGACTACCTAATTATTAATAAAATATTTCTGAATTTTTATATAAATTCATTAAGAATACTATTGGAATTTAAAAAACTTGGCATTAATTCTTGTTCAATTCCATCTATGTTTTCATTTAGAAACTATTTCTGTGAACTCTTTTTAAATATAACATGGTTTTGGATGCCCTCTGGGGATGGTAGCTTTACTGATCTTAACACGTGTAAGAAAGCTTAGAACCATCAGTAGTTTATTGTTCACGTCATATGCACCAAGAGTATTTATGTTATCTTAATTGCAAAGTGCGCTGACCTTACCAGAGATGAATTTCAGTAGTCAATCTAATAAAAAAAAAATAATAAAAAAAATATTGAAGGTCACTCTCCCGCTACAAATTTTACCATAAATTAATTACAATAGACTTCATGAAGTTAATTTTAGTTAATTTTCGAACAAAATACGTCTTTTTCTGATTTGTGCTGCTAAGCTACTCATATAGTTAATGTGTTCCAAATGAAACGAAAGCTATATCCCAAGCAGAAATATTTTTTGTGATTACGTAACGAAAAAAAAAAAAAAAAAAAACTAATCTTTATGGACACAATTGTACCGTTTGATCTCAAGAACAAAATAAAATAATAACTAATATACTTATTACTTGTCTCAAATCTAGACCTCAAGATCTGTCATTATTTTTACTAATTTTTAAAAATAATTGGTACTAACTTACCAAACAAAATTATTTCCGCTTGGGTAGGATTGAACCCATCAATTGAAGAAAAATTTCGTTCTATTTAGTACCTCCGTTCAAAGGTTCTAGTTGTTTGAAGAGAAGCGAGAAAAATCGCTAAAATGAGATTTCGTAGATTTTTTCCGAAAATTCGTAACTTAAAAAAAAATCTATAACTTTTGATTGGTGGCACTAAAATCCACAAACCTATTTTCTTGATTGATGGAGCTTCGTTTCAGCAGTCATGTAACAATGTATATGCAAGGATATGGCAGAAAAGCTTTTTTTTAAGTAGGAGCCTTAAGGTATAAAATTGAGATTGGTATAGTGTACGTAAGTTACACTTTAACTATATTTTCTTGATTATTCTATTTAGGAGTCAAGATATAAGCTTGAAAGTTTAACACTTCTAACATAACTTTATATAATTAGAATATTCAGTTTAAGTTTCATGTAGTAGCATGAGCCCTGGACAAGAAGTGAGCCACTTACGAATCACCCATATAACTTTTCCAAAAATCATTATTGTTTACTGGACATTAAGTAAAAAATATCTTTTTTAAAAGTAATTTATTATCTTCTAGTATGTCATGGATATCATCACTCAAGTTGTTACTACACTTTTTCACTTTCACAATCACAGCATTTTTTTTCGCAATATTGCTAGAAAAATTCATAGGAACGCATACTTTTAGTAACGCAACCACACCTTTCCACAACTAAAAAGAACGTGTGCCCGTATAAACTAACCCATAAGTATTTTAGCACAAATTTTTACACAAATCTACAGTAGGAAGCTGTAGCAATACTTTGACTACGAAACATAACCTGATCGATACTATTATAAAGTTTATAGTTGGAAACCGAAATTATAATTGATAGTTCTCAAATTTGTAGACAATTTTTAAAATTTCAATGATGTTTTGTATGTGTTTATGGAAATTAAAAAATGTGCTGATAAAAAGAAATCCTGCCTTTAATCATTTCATAAAATATTATTTTAAGCTTGGGTACAAATATTGATTTTGTAATGAGTGATCAGAAACAGCGCTGTCGTGTTGTTTCTTAATATTTCTCGGAAAGTCTACCTTCTCTCTGGCACTCTTAAGGAGGCTTGGGCGTTTGATGCATTGGGAGACATGTCGTATCTATTGAGGGGCCCCTGTAGGGTACTTGTCATACAAATGATTCTTTGTAATATTTTTTTTATAATTATTTTGATTATACACATGTGTGAACAAAATAGCNGTATCTATTGAGGGGCCCCTGTGGGGTACTTGTCATACAAATGATTCTTTGTAATATTTTTTTTATAATCATTTTGATTATACACATGTGTGAACAAAATAGCAATAATACGCGGAAAAGTCATTGGGAAAATCGATATTAAAAAATTTATTAGTTTTTCCGAGGTACCTTGTGTAAAGAGGACGGCCCTGCCACGATAAAGCCGACAACACTGTACTCTCTTGCTCTCATCTGCTATTATATACCTATACTTGTGTTAGACTTAAATTTTCATGCTTGTATGTTTATGAATGTACAGCGCATGCGCACTTACAGTACCTGAACAAAACAATTCTCATGTTCGATATTTTCCTCGGTATTTTCTCAAAATTTAACGTGTTGATCCTATTCTTTTTTTTTTAAATAATAGATTCTTTATACTTTCAAGTACATGTACCAATTTAATGTGTGGGCCCACAGCTTTTTATTGCGGTACGGTAGTCAATTGAATTTCGGGTTCCGTAAGGTTGCGTGTTAAAATGACGAATTTTCACAAGCGAGTTTCTCGAAAATAAATGAGTTGACCTACCTATTCTTTTTTCCTAAAAAAATCTAGCAAACTTTATCTATATAATCTCTGAATTTCAGACCTAGCCAGCATTTAATTCAAAATCGCCCAAGCCTCCTTAACGAAAAAAAACAGCATTAGGCAATCGAAATTTGTCGGAGTTCTCTCTAATCACTTATTTTAAGATTCATACTTACTAGCTCTTACGTTACCACTATTTAAATATACAGGAGATGACTTAACCATCTGGCACCAAAGATACTTTCCCGGTCAATAAAGGCGTATTTGTAAAAATGCGTAACATTTTTCGACTAGTAATCAAAGATTTACATACTAACTCTATTTTTTCTCGATCAAATACTACAATTTTTTTCACACACATTAAATTTCATAAAAAAAAACTACTGCTAATATACTATTTTACCTTATTTTTTTAACAGCGTGCTCGGTAAGAATTTTTTCTGTTGGTATAGCTTTGCAAAGAGGTTCCAAAATAGAACTGTATCCATGGGTTAAGCTAATATTACCTCCTTGGAGTTCAGTATACGAACCCATTTGTAATAAATCTATGTCATTCATACTATTACACCCAGTAATACAAGTTTCTCTTTTAAGTAAGCAATCAAAAAGTAACTGTCTAATTTTTCTACTCTCTTTTGTTAATGAATCTAAATAAATGTTTATTTCTAATGCTATATGTTCTCCCACACTCTTGATATGTTCAGGTGGACTGTATGAACTTAAAAAGTATTCTTCACATCTTCTTAAGAAGCATATATAAGCCGTGTAAATTTCTTCTAGTATTAAAAATGGTATTTGTTTACCATTTTCTGTTGCTGCAATAATCTTATGAGATGTAGGAGAACTAGTAATATCAACTAAATCATTGGCCATAGCTAGTTCAAAAACTGGATTTCCTAAGATACCATGAATCCAGTTAGCTCCCAATTCAACCTTATAGCTTCCTGCAATGTAGATTATTATAATTCTCATTTTATTTTTCAGACAATACATTGTGTTTGAGTATTCTATGATTTTTAATTTTAAAATAACATTAGTAAGCTTTGAAGCTTTGTGGACGGACTTAGAAATTCTGTATTTTTACATAAGTTGACATTCGTCAATTTTATTCATCGTAAATAACTGTACAACAACATACCAAGCTTTGTAAAAACAATTCTTCCTCCAATTCGAGAACGAGCTTCCACAATGAGAAAATTTGGTTCATTGTGACTTAATAAATAATTTGCAGCTGATAAACCTGCAATTCCAGCTCCAATAATAACGATTTTACATGAAGTTTTTAACGTATCCATCAGTTTATTCCTAAATACTGATATGTTTACGATTGATCCGTTATGTTTTCAGTAGTTATGATGTTTCTTTTTAATTATAAGGACGTACACACGAATAAAGAGTAAAAACAAGGAGTCCAACTGCCCAAGTTAAGGTAGCTGCGATATTTTTTATTATAATAACAAATCTCTATAATTTAGATATAACATAAATAAATCACGTTAAGTTCGTTAACAATGAAAAAGGTTAGGGTTATAACTTTTGTAACTTTTTTCAACTCGTTACTAAAAACTTGAGATTGTAATGGAGTACTCTTAAAGGAATCGTCACTAAATCGTACTATTATTATAAATAGTGTAGGAAAGTATTATCTTTGCATGAAAAGTTGACTTCACAAGTAAATAAAATTTTAGGAATTGAAAATAAAATATTTATTTATTTTTTCATGAAGAATTCATTGAGTTTGAAAAAACGTAGGGTTATAAACAATTTTGTTTAAGAGACCAATGAGAAAAAAGTTTTAAAATAATACTGTATTTTATTCTT